ATGACACACGGGGTAGGAACATATGTCCAAAGTTTCAGCTTCCCAGCTTTCCTGGTTGCTGAGATGGAAGTGGGTGACAAAATGCACTTGCTTTCCGCACACACACATACACACACAGCCTCTCGACAATATGCGTTTTTGTTGGCTGTAGCAGTGCTATAGCGCTGCACAGCAAAAACGCATAAAAAGTGGAAGTATTGCTCGACCAGTTTTTTGTCAAAAAAATCCAAGTATGCAAATGAATTAATGTTCATTAACACATTTGGAAGAGGATGGTCTTTCGCTGCAAAACGCACTCGTTTCTGATTATGCGTTTTTGCATACATACAAAAACACATATTGTGACGACCCCGGTGCGTGTGTGTATGCGTCTGTCCGGGTATTTCAACTCGGCACCCAAACAAGCCCCGGCGCCAAAATTTTGCTAGTGGGTTCCCCTGCCAAGTGCCACCTCAGGGCCGCGGCACCAATCCTCACGCACGTCTAGGCCACGCGTATGAGCGCCTCAAAGTTTTAGCGGGGAAATCGCTAACTTGGGCAGCAGAAAAGCTTGAAACCTGGAATTTTGGGATTATGTTTCCCGTCCGTGTAGAACTCAGAGATTTTAAATTCAGCCCCCAGGTGCGCGCGTTTCCCGCGTACGGCCCCTTGAGAGCTCCTGGCGCGAAAATCGCTAGCTCCGGAACCAAGAAAGCTGGGAGGCTGAAACTTTCAGGAAATGTTCTAAACTCATCTATAACTTAAAATTTATCACATTCAGCCGTTTTGCGTTGTTGTCACGTACGGCCCCGTAAAATTTCCAGGCTTGAAATTGCGTAACTTGGGGACTGAGGAAGCTGGGAACCTGGGATTTCAAGCGTATTTTCCCTGTCCAAGTATAGCGTGGATAATTAATTTCCCGAAATTCGAGGACCAGTGTGTACGAGAAGTCTCTAGCTAGTGGAATTTCGAATGATCTTATTACAGCACGAAACACTGCAAAAACGTATTATCGCACGGGCCCGCCCAGTGCGCATCGTCAATGATTCTTCGGTAAAGTTGAGTATTCCTCGAGCTTACCTGCAAGGAATTCCACTTCCAAGCAGAATTAAGACCGCACTTGAAAGTAGAATATTTCAGCGAACTTTCAGCCTCGCAGCTTATCCGGTAAGCGAAATATCCAATTCGCTACAAATACCTTTGAAGTGCGGTAAGTCGTGGCGCAAATGCTAATTGGTCCTTACTTTGGGTATTCTATTTCCTATTTGGGAGATAAACATTCTGACAAAATTTCAGCCACTGTTTTCCTACAAGCCTTTGAGTTAGCATAGTACTAACTTGCAAACTTTGACGTAATCGTACGCGCTTCATAAGCGTGTTCGACAGCTAAATTTAAAGTCTTTAGCTCGCACTTGCATAGAGAATATTTATACAAAGTTTTAGCTTTCTACCTTGCCTAGTTCGCAAAATCGTTTCCCGCCAAAGAAATTTGCATATTTTTTTTTTTTGGGGGGGGGAGGGGAAGGGGTGGTACGCGGCGTCTAGGCGCATGTGGAGGAATATCTTGAAACGGGAGGGTGGCACACCGGGTAGGAACATATATCCAAAGGTTCAGCCTCCCAGCTTTCCTGGTTGCTGAGATGAAATTTGGTGACAAAATGCGCTCGCTTCTCAACACATCCACACAGACAGCCCCCCGACAATGTGCTTTTTTGCTGGCTGCGGCAGCGCTACAGTGTTGCACAGCAAAAACACATAAAAACGCATATTGTCGCGAGATTGTGAGTTCGGAAGCGAGTGAATTTTGCCACCCACTTTCATCTCTGTTACCAAGAAAGCTGGGAGGCTGGAATTTTGGTGTATTCTTCCCCTACACGCGCCTAGACCCAACGTACGCGGTCCTCCCAAAAAAAATATGCAAATTCCTTTGACGGGGAACGATTTCGTGAACTAGGCAAGGTACAAGGCTGAAACTTTGCAGAAATATTCTCTGTGCATGTATGAGCAAAAGATTTCAAATCCAGTTGTCGGGCACGATTGTATAGCGCAATCACGTCAGGGTTTTTGACCTGGAACCGTACTAACTCAAAACTTCCTGGAAAACTGTGGCTGAAATTTTGTCAGCATGCTTGTCGCCCATATGGGAAATCGCATACCTAAAATGAGTACCGATTTGTACATGTGCCGCGACTTAGGGTACTTCATAGACATTTGCACTGAAGTTGATATTTCGCTTACCAGATAATATGCATGATATTCTACTTTCAAGTGCGGTCTTAACTATGCTTGGAGGTGAAATTCCCCGCAGGTGAGCATGAGAAACACTCAACTTTAACAAAAAGCGGAAACGAGTGCGTTATGAAGCGAACGACCCACCTCATCCAAATATGTAGATGAACATTCAGTTCATTTGCATACTTGGATTTTTTGACGAACGACCGTTCCAGCAACATTTTCACTTTTTAGTGAATTGGAAATTTGCATTTTTTTTTCAAAAAATTTGCATTCTTCATTTTTCAAAAAGCGAACATTTGCCAAAAAAACGACTAGGTTTCATGCGAAAAACTGGTATTTGTGTACCTGAAAGTACATGCGGCTCTATAATTCACCACCTTCATCCCAACTAATGCTGTTTCTCCTGCACACTGGAAGAGGACAAAGCACGGCCAGTATGAGCCCAGGTGTTAGGTTACATTCCCGCGATTAGCGGCCTGAGAGTTTAGTGTAAAAATGCATGGTCGCACCGGCATGGTGCGTTCCAGTTTGGGTTTATAGCGGTCTGATATATCTTGTACACGCCTGCATGGTACCCATAGTGACCGACTGTATTTTATCATTTGATCACCATTTATCGATTTTTTTAAAATAACTGTCGATCCTTATTTCGATTTGAGAATCTTTTCTTCTCGTAAGCAATAATCAAGTCATCGATCGTTGAAATAGTCGGATTTACTACTTTATGAAAAAGCATCTCTGCTGCATTTGAGTTCGGCACATACAAATATAGTAAAAATCCTGCCTAAAATTGGCATATTTTTATTCAAATACATGACACACAATACAGTTCAGGCAAACCTAGTGCAGCTCACAGGTATTGCAATTTCATGCTTGCTATCCTCAGCCATTTTCCATTGCTATTCTTCCCACTGTTTTCATAATAGTACTTCTGTCTAAGCAAAGTTTCTTTTCGGTGTCCATCTATCAAAATGAGTTTCACCGAAATAAATGTAATAGCGCACCAGCAGGCCATTGTGATCATGCGCGTTTGAAGCCAGGCAGCGTGACAGAAGCAAACAATGTTTATATACATCGTTAAATACAAATGAAAATCGCTATATCGCAGATTTCATTTTAGTTCAAGCTGAGGCACAGAGAGATTTGAAAATTTAGCTGCACACATAAAATACCTTAAACAACATTTACATACATTTCTCAAACTTTGTAGTCTCGAATAATACTTGTGAAAACCTGTTCACATGCGTGCACACATGCACATGCATATCCGCGCATTCACGCATATACGCACATTCACACACATACATACATGTTTACACACACAGACGCATTTAGATACGCATAAATGTGCTTACACATATACACTACATACATACAAACGCGACATATGAACATACATGTAGACTATGCTTGAAAATATCTACATAAGTATGTAACCATTGGCGACGCGTACCGGGCGGGCCCGCGCGATCATGCGTGTTTGCAGTATTTCGTGCTGTAATGAAATCGCTGAGAAACCTGGTAGCTAGGATTTGTGACATACTGGTCCTCGAAGTTCGGGTAGTTAATTGTCTACGCGGTGCTTGGACAGGGGACATTCCGTTAAAATTTGAGCTTTCCAGCTTCTCCGGTTTTAAAGTTAGCAATTTCCCTGCCAAAAAATTTCATGGGTCCGTACATGAGAAACATACGTATCTGGGAGCTGAATTTGACATATTCAACTTTTACGGGAGCTGGGAACATACCTTTAAAATTTCAGCACCCAGCTTTCCTATTTCCCAAGTTGACCATTTTTCCACTAAAAAATTTTACGAGGTCGTACGTGAGAGCCATGCTTACCTGGGAGGCTGAATTTGATAAATTTAAGTTACAAATGTGCTGGGAACGTTCCCTGAAAATTTCAGCCTCCCAACTTTCCTGGTTCTCGAGTTAGCCATTTCCCACCAAAAAATTTCACGAGACCGTACGCGATAACTACGGATGCCAGGGGGCTGATTTTGTTAAATTTAAGTTTTACAGTTGCTGGGAACATTCCCTGAAAATTTCAGTCTTCCAGCTTTCCTGGTTCACGAGCTAGCCATTTTCCCGTCAAAAAATTTCACGGGGCCGTAGATGAGAACCACGCATGCCTGGGGTTTGAATTCAATGATTTTGATTGTATATGTGCTGAGAACATTCTCTGAAAATTTCCAAGTTCTCAAGTTAGCCATTTCGCGCCAGGAACCTTCACGGAGCTATATGCGGGTACCACGCATAACTGGGGCTGAATTTGAAATCTTTCTATGTGGACGAGGAATACAACCTCAAAATTTCAATTTTCTAGCTTTCCTGGTTCCCGAAAAGCGATTTTCCCGCCAAAACTTCCACCCTCTCGTACGCGGGGCCCAGAAGTGGGTAAGGGTTGGTACCGCCGTCCTGGGATGGCACTTGGTCAGAGAACTCCTTGACAAAATTTTGGCGCCGGAGCTTGCTCGGCCCGGAGAGACACACATACACCCACACACACACACCTTCCACGCACACACACACACATATACATACACGCACATGCATAGACGCTTTTGCATTTGCATATAAGCGAAAATTCATAAAAACGCACACACATGTACACACAAACGCACACCCATACCCGTCACTGACTGATTTTAAAGCATTTTCTCATTCGTACTATGAAAAGGCAATAGAACTACATTTCTTCTTTTTCATTTACTTTAAAGACAGTATAATCCTGGGATTAAGATCATTTCTTACTCCTCCAACCCACCAGAACTCTGCTGCCTGTCTTCCACGGTCAACTGGCTGCAGTGTAACAGAGCACGAGTTTTCACCTTGAAGAGCCAATAGGTAGGCAGGTAGCAAGTGATTGAAGATGCAAAAGAATCAGCAAGCGAGAACGTTGCAAATACTGTCCAATACATTAACCACTGTGTATCGTCTTCCTTGTCCGATGTACGAATGGCCTAAATCAGATAAAGCAATTGGATGAGGTGAGCCAAAAGCCTGCAATCTTGTCCATTTACCGCTGTTGTTTGAAAGAGATTTTCTTTGTTCTTCACTGTCTTTTGAAGTCGGTTGCCAGAGTAAATAAACTCACTTTAACAGATGCGTAAGCCGGATAAGCGAATCCCACAAAATTGCACACCAGCTCAGCAAAATATCCCAATATCAGGTAAAAAGCCAATACAGCGAGAATGAGGTAACCCCACTGCAATTTGCGGAACATGAGAATCAAAAAATTTACTGTTTTGCAGGTTATGCACAGCGCAGGAAGAACAGAAGTTGGCATACAGGAAAGAGGGACATAAGCAAGTAAATTTGCAAATATGAAAACTGGGAAGAGCTAGCTGCATGACGAAAACTGCCCTGGTTCCAGAATGACGCCGGACGGAGATAGACTTGGCTTGCGTTAAACGCAGGAAATTTT